TGTGAATATTTCAATCCATAGTTTGTAAAAATCCATCAGAAGTAATGCTCAAGGGCAAGGGTCAAAAGAAATGGTGTGTTACCTGAGATTCCATATTTCAAAAAGCACAGTGTAAAAATCCTTGGCATATAGGTGATCTTAATGGTCCCTTCTGGACTTCAAATGTATTACAGAAAGAAACCATGAAGTCATTCTCATAATTTAAGGCTTTATCTTTGCTTTGCTAGTAATTCTTCCTGTCTGAATATCACTGCTCACCTTAAGCAAAATAAGGATTATGTTATTACTGTGAGATAATAAAAAAAGACTCCGCATTGTTGCAGTCAATACCCATCATAAATGTAAAATTTGGTGTTCTAAAGGGTAGTAGCAAAGTCTCTTTTTGCCCCCACTTCTTCTATCTAAAGTATTTCATAGCATTGCTATTAATAGCAACTCCAAGTAACACATTTGTACAGAGAGAGGAATATGGCAGCATCTGAAAAACAAACTATCCCAGGTCATTGTTGTTGAGCCACCAGGGTGAGGTTCAGAAAATCTCTAGGAGCAGAAGCAGCTCATGTCAAGTCTTGCAATTAGGGCTTTTGACTACAAGTCTTCGGCAAATATTTTCATATACTTGCCTGCATAACTATGTGTCATTCATGACAGTGTGGTCTTTCAAAAAAATAAGGAAGATTCTACACAGATGTATGGAAACCCAGGGAGAAGGGGTAGTTGCTTTCACCAGGCACTTCTGAAACTCCACTGACAGCTACTGTGCCTCATTTTCTATATGTCCCTGAGACACGTGAGATCTGCCTGCCCTGGTAGTCTTGGTGAATACCAAGACAAAGCTTTCTGTAGCTGACAGCCCAGGGTGCAAAAATGTCAACATTTCCTCTCTTTGACTAGGAAATGACTGGAATGACTCAGCTCGCCCAGCTAGTGTAGTAAGTGTGACCTTTTTCAAGAAGGCTGCCATATGGAGCTTTTTTGCCTCTGCTTTCTCCAGTTTGGCTTTGCTCAAGAATGGCCAGCTTCAAAGAAAAAGTTCACCGCTCTAATTGAATATTCTCCATATTGAGAGGGGTAAAAATAAACATTCTTCTTGGTTTATTCACACATAAACTAGAATCATCCAAGTGTGACATCTGAAAGGAACTACATTATTATAATCTGAAATGAGAACAAAGTTCATCGTGTGTGATTTCTTATTTTTTCCCTGCAGACTTTTGAAAGAGATTGCAGAATCTTAACATCCATTAAAGCTCAAGAAAGCCAGAGCTGTGCATTCCTGTGTTAATCGTTTTAGTATTCTGCTGGTTAATTGTCTGTCTGTTCCACCTTCTCCTCCCCAGGTTAATGGGGTGGTTAACAGGAGAGGACAGGAATGGTTGGCCAATCACACAACAAAGCAAACTGAAAAGGTCAAAGTAACGTGCTGTATTATTCATGGACTATGCCTTGCTGAGGTATCTTAGATCTCGTGTCTTTTCGTGATGAATTGCAACAAGGACAAGAAACAACCCAATGTGAAATTGGCTCCTGTGACAATGACTGCAGTTCAAATGGAAAAATGTAAAACTGTGGCCTGCTGTTGTTCTGGTTTTTGAGATTAAAGACATGTGATCACATCTAGCCACTGAATTAGCAACAGGTCACTTTTGTATGACTTCCCAGCTGGGTTGTAAGTATAATACAGGGCATATGTACATAGATTCTTCTAATTTTAGTCATGGACTCTGTTTTGGAAGTACCGTGTGGTGCCTAATAACCCTCCTATGTCTTCTGTGTCAATAAACTCATGATTAGCTTAAAGATTTCTCAATGTAAGACTCCTTTTTAAGTGGGTGTTTTGTTTAGAAGTGTTATTGTGCTAATTCCTAAGAGGCCACCTAGAGTGGACTGTAAGACAGTCCATATTCTCAGGAATTTGCAATTTGTGTAGCCAGATTTGAAGGAAAACTTGATGTAACCTTTTTTTTTTTTTTTTTTTCTCCTTCACATTTGACATGAAAGGGGCAGATACTTGCAGAAGCAGGATGGTGACTGAGGTGCTCCCAATTATTTTCTGAGTACTGTCCCTTTCATTGACTACAGAGGGAGATTAGCAGCAGCAGACTACTGATTTAATCCCTAGCAGTGGGTGCCATTAGTACGTGTCCTCATTTAGTCCCTACCACTGGTTGTCATGAGTGCAACGCATCTTCTTCCTCTGGCAATGTGTTTAATCTAATACTTCAGCTATAGATCTGTTCTCCATCGCTTTGTGGCACAAGCTTGTATTTTTCAAGTGTTTTTACCATACCGCTTTGACAGACGAGACTTCACAAAGAGTGAAAAATGTTCTTAAGACCAGCCACTGCCTGGTCAACCTTCTCCGAGTCGTAATTAGTGTTGTAACCCAACAGGAAACATATACCTAACACCTGAAGGATCATACTCTGCTTGTGCTCATTGTCCCTTCCAGGGCTTAGTACTGAAGTTCTGGCATATTTACAGGGAAGCAAGGATGGCAACAGGAGGCAGAAGAGTTATGAGGCAGTCTCAGGGCAGAGGGTATTTTTTTTTCCTTTTCCCTTTCTTTAAATTGGTATAGCATTCTTTGCTTTTCATTGAGTGGTTTCAACTGACTTCAGTTGCCTGGGGCCAGTGAACCTAGCTGTCAACAGATAAATCATTTTTGTGACCAAAAAAAAAAAAAAAATCTGTGATGGAGGGAAACAAATGCACATTACTCATTTGGAAACTAGTCTTTGGAAGAGAAGTGACCTGAAAGTGGAGCTCTTGGGGAGTGGCCTCAAATGTGTCCTTGTGTATGGGACTAAAATAGCCCCAGCAACCAAAAGCCAGACTGTTTTTAATCCGCCCTTAACAAAAAGGAGGAGGAGGGATCAAGTCCAGCTTGTAAAAAATATTTCCTGAATGAAAGGAGGCAAGGTAAATGTCATCACCCTATAGAAATCAATAGCTGAGAGGCCAGAGATTCGTACCACCGTCTGCATCTTCTTCAAAAGGCAAGTTAATTATTGTTAGGGGTTTTAATTCTTGTAGGTGATCCTAGTGAGTCTCATGCTTTAGAAACTATACTGCATACAGCAAACATCAGAAATCCCAGCCTCCCTCCAACTGATTCCCCGTTGTCCAGCAAAAGGTAGTAAATAGAGTAAAGCTGACCCTCAAAGAGCTGTGAGTAAACACTGTGTCGATCTGGAGCGGGCAAGGAATGCATTATAGATGGGCATTTGGGGAAAGTACCAACGCCCTTCTCCATGGCAGAGGCTTCTTTCATGTTTGCTTTGTGTTGTTTTGCAGCTGACTTCATCTCCTGAGAACTGCTGTAGTCTGTGGCTTTCTGGGGTCTAAAGGGCACTGTAGCTGGGTGTTGGCCTAGATGTTTCTGACACCTTACCGATTGATTTGGGCTACAGCCTCTCTCTCAGTGATGTATTGATCTGCAGCCTAAGACAGGTTTTTCCGCCCTACCTGTTATCTGAAAAGTGAAATGTCACATCTTGTCTTGGATCTGGGTCTTTTGCAAAGCTCTGAGATGAGACTGGTACATCTTTATCAGTGCGCTCAGATTAGCCTGTTTGTGTTACACAGACAACTGTTTTTTACTGGTCATGTTGCTTTTTTGCTCCAAAGATCACTTCTTCTCAGTGCACTTCATTATTTTTCATCATTCTAGGTAAAAAATACCAGATTTTGCATTAAATATTCCAGAATTGCAAGGCAGATTGCATCAAATTAAGAGTATTTGCTTAAGAGCCTCATGATTTACCAAGCTGTGTGTTGACTGTGACTTGATGATCTGTGGGGAGCAGTCTTTCTGATTTAGTGTGTGTCTGCTCATCAAAGATGGATGATTGCCACTATGTGTCATAAAACTTCATCTGACAGAACCAACTCCATAGCAAAATAATGCTGTCTCCAAAGGGCAATAATTCTTTGTTCCTCTGTCCCACATGTTTAAGGAGCTAAGGCCAGATCAGATTTTCTCAGAAAGATTTCTTTATACTTATTCTGTATTCTTATTCTAATTTCTTTATACTTTTTCTGAACAAAGGACCATCAAAGCTTTTGTCAATTCTTTCTTAGTTTTCAAAAATCTTTTATGGGAGCCTAGGAAGATGGTCTCTAGCAGCTAAAAATCTGTAGGATTTAGACTCCTATCTGTGATAAATAGATAAATGGGAATTCAGCGGCTAAATGCCTTTGAGGTCCTGGATTTTTAATTAAATCCTATGGCTGGATTTTTTTCCTTTCATTGTTTTTGTTTGAAAGTCACCCTTGAATGAGAAAATATAGTGAACTGAATGCTGTTTTTATAGGGTGAGGTTATTTTCTTACCAAGTAAGCACAGCGAACAAAAAAGGATATGCCAGCCTCAGAAGAGATTGTGCACATCAGCCGGGGCTGCCTGTCGAACACCTTCTGATGAGGTGATCTCTATCGAAGAGGAGATGCATTGCTCTGCTCACTGCTGACTGATCTCCGGGGATCTGGGAACCTGTGCTCCCTTGAACACCAATCATCATTAGGGCATAAGTTAGAGTGAAGGACTTCACATTCTTAACTACAAGGCAACAGCTGGGCTCCTTTTGGGTTTTGTCTTTCTCTTTTTGTAGTGTTGTCTTACTTGCACTTGTAGGTGGTGGAGAATGCCTCTTTTCACCTATAGATTGTACCAGGATTTGTAGTGTAAGGCATTAACCTGGAAAGAAGAGAGTGCGAGGCTGAATTCCTAGCTAAGGATGGAAGGTTCCGTTTTCGGTGCTTCTTGAGCAATAATCAAGCCAGCAGGACTTTGCAGAGTTTAGATGCAGTACATTCTCAGAACAGAAAACACAGGCCCCTTTTTGTCTGGGTGTTGCTATTTAAATAAACAAGTAAATTCAAAATAAGTCTTTCACAAACATTTATTCCAAACAGTTAAGAGTGATGAACTGCAGGAGTGTCCTGCTAAAGATGCCCCATATAGAGCAGAAGGCTCATTAAGTGGAAGGGGGGTTGACTTATCTAGAAAAAATATAGAGTGTGAACATTCCTGAATACTGGGTAGACATATCTCTGGGGCTGGTAAGGGTCAAATCTACTACTTCCTAGTGGATAATATTGCAGTGTACTTCGCATCCTCTTCATTTTTTCCATCTTAGCTATTCTCTGCCTTTTGTTCTTTAAGTAATTGTCTTCTGCTTCATATAAATAGTCTTCAATGAGTCCAATCTGCAATTATAAAGAAGAGCTGTCAGAAGCATGTCCTTTCCCCTGAAAAAAAACTTCAGTAAGTTTTGTAATTAGTTTATTTCAAAACTAATTGTTGTTAGAAAGGAAAATACATGAAGGCACCTCTCATACAATTGGCTGGAGTAGCGGTACCTAATTTCATAATTCTTTTTTTTTTTTTCCTATCCCTTTCTATTTGGATTCAATTACTTTACTGCTGTGCAATAGACTCTTTCATTGAAATCTGTACATTGAAAACAGGAATTTATCACAACTCTGTCTTTAAATGGCATTGAAAAACAGCCATTTTAAAAGGAAGGGATGATGAGGAAATTAATCTCGGGCAAGTTTTTGTTGATAAGGAAAGAGAACAGAGGCTTCTGGCATTTATATACCAAAAATCAACACATGGAGAAAAATGAGTATTCCACATTGCTGTGGCAAGAACCATTTTTCTATTAAATCAAAATGAAGTTCTGAATAAGTATGTTTTCACATGAACATAATACACCAGAGAATACAGTAAAAGAACAGATGACGTCAGTGTCCCCTCCAATAAAAACATAATTATTCTAATAAATACTCCTCTTCCTTGCAGAGGTGCTTTCAAAAAAACCAAAAATATAGATTAGTAGTACTGTGTACTGATACATTGTAAATACCAGGCATTCATAATTTTATGGCTATCTCTCCTCATACCTTTATTCATACCCTTTGTTAGCTTTTTTCTATAAGGTGAAGATGAGAATCATCTCACGTCACACTGAGTTATACTCAAGACCTAGACCCTATATAATGTGAAGACCTAAGGAATCAATCTTCCAATTGCATTTTAAGCTGAAATATTTAAAAAAAAAAAAAAAAAAGTCTGCATCTATCATCCTGACACACATTCAGTGGAGCGTTGCTTCTTTAGGTGCAACAGAGAACAGCTGACTGGGAATTAATCTGACCGTGGCCTCCTATTGTATTTATTCCTATATTGAGCTGTTACTGAAGTGCTCCTCAGCCCTGACCCTGAAGCCGTGCTGTGTGCTCCGGCCGTGGCTGATGCTGGTGAGGGGTGTGAGCGTGTGACAGAGCAAACGAGGCAAGCGGAAAAGTCCATGCACAATTAATTCTGCCTCCCCGGGGTGCCGAGGGCACAAGGAACGTGTCTGGGAAAGGAGCTCTGCCTCCTCCTCCCCACGAAGCTTGCAGAGGTGACATTTTCAGCAGATCAGCTTCGCACGGCACCGTGCATGATGCCGTGGAAAAGAGTTTGCTGCTGTGCTGGTGAATCTTGATGGGCACATGCTTGGGGGGTTTTGCTCCTCTGTTGCCAAGAGATCCGTTGCAACAGGAGCGTGGGGAGGTTGGGGCTCTCTGAAGACAGCCTCACAGGCTGGCCCTGCTGTGACGTGCTCACCATATAAACACGTGGAGGATTAGAGAAAGGAATCATTATGCTAGCCTCATTTTTAAGAAGCTGAAATAAAAGCTTAGGAAATCATTGATCTGGCCAAAAGCACACAGGAAGTCTCAGAAAGACTAATCACTTGGTGCCAAGCTCCAGTCCCAGGGCTTAGCCATAGTAAAACCAGCCACCAGACCCCCAAGACTCTTCTGCAACAGACCAAATTAAAATATCTAAGTAACTTTCTTCTGCAGTTAAAATCAATCTTTTTCTAGCTGGGGGGTAGTACTTGTGTTTGGGTGAGCACAAAGGGTGGTAGGGGGAAGGGAAATGGGTCACAGGTGATTGGTAGAGTGTGGGGTAAGGGCAAAGGGGTCCCCAGAAAAGCAACGTTTTTTACAGCAGCTTCTTTAGGACCATCCAGTGGTGCCTGCACTGCTGGTGATGCCACCAGCAAGCTCTGGTGGAATGATGTTCCTACCTTGAGTCATGGCTCAGCTTCTGTTGTGTGCTTTTCATATTTATAGAATACCTGTCAGTTCCAGCCCCCAAAATAAGTTTTAATATGGCATATCAGGGGTGGAAATAATAGTTGCTTACATAATTGCAATGTTAGTGGCACGGCTGATGAGCTGATGATGTTATTTGCACAGCAGTGATGGCATTCAAACCCTCGCCGACTCACAATTACACTGTATGCTCTGAGCCCTGGCATCATTTAAATTACCACATGAACACAATGAAAATATAGTCTCTTGACAAGATAAAGGGGGGGGAGGATGGCTTAAAAATCTCTTTTCGGTGGCTGCAGTGTTCAGTACTGCTTATTCATGGCTTTTTAGCTTGCACATTTCATTTTAAGGAAGTAAATTGGAAGCATTATGTTCTGCCTTTTTGCCTTGATTTAAAACCTCCCTGTGCCTGCTCTTCTGCTGTCTGACTGCAGTGAGCCACCTTTCAGGCTCTCATTGGGAAATGCAGATTTTCAAAAATCAATAACTTCACTTTTTTTCTCTCCTTTTTTTTTTTTTAATTTTTTTTTCTTTTTTCCCCCCAAATAAGTGTTTATATAAGAACCCATGGGGATGGGAATAGGTAGAAGGACACCGTTTGCAGCCAGCCCAAACATGATTAGTGTTAAAGCAACGGCTGATGTAGGCAAATAGATTTTTGGGAAAGACTTGGGACTTAGTCCCAAGCAGAGCAGTAGCTGGCTACAGGCTGATGCTGAGATCGATTCCCAGGGTTATGCAGCTGAACCCTGCAGCTGTTAGTTAGGCTCAAGTGGCACTGGAGCCCACGTGAATAACTCTGCAGGACGTGGTTCGCAGTGGAGCATTTGCTACTGGTTTTGCCAGTGATTTGCATGAGGCTTGTTTTGGGCCTGATCTCAGCCTGCACAGAGATCAACACTGGGTCAACCCTTCACGCTATTTGTACTTGGATTGTGCATCCCCACAGCTAACTCCCAGATCCACACAGTGTCCCTGGGTGCCACAGTCTGTGCTTGGGGGCTGCTCAGCAGCACTGCGTCCCATCTGTAGGGGCTGTGCTCAGCTCTCAGTAGCTGAACCTGCTGCTTGACATCCTTGAAGTCCCTTTAATACTCTCCTGAACATATAAAACCACTCTTCTCACATCTATCCAGTCTTTATGGTCTTTTTTTTCTCAAGTGCCTTGTGACCCAAGAGCTTAAAAAGACAAATTTGGCTTCAACCTACTTTTAATCCTGTGCTGCTATGACATGCTATACTTTCAAGATATCCTGAGGTTTTCCCCCTGCACCTCCCAGTTACTCCCAGCTGTGCAGAGGCAGTATTTCTACTTCACATTACTGTCTACAGCCCTGACCCAGCTAGAGGCTCCTTGGTGCGTGACTGCCCATCTATTCAAGTTCCCCATGTTCCTTCCTCATTAGCTCCTGATTTCAGGCTGCTCCAGACCCTATTTCTTCCACTAGATTTTTCTTTCTATCTTTAGTTTGGCCCCTGGGATTGGCAGGAAAAAAAGGGAGTGGAGAGAATGAAGATCAAATGCAAAGAGGGAAGGTGCAGAAACAAAAAGTGCCTTTAAAGCAAATTACATGCTCAATCCACAGCACACCCATGTGGTACCTGTAGGTGCTTTGGGATCAAGTTAAGCAGAGAAATGAAGGGGTCTGGGGACAGAAATTTGAAAATCCACCAAATGCTCAGTAGAGTTCATTTTGTTCTCTTTATGTTAATATTGTGTTTATTTTACATTGCCCCAAAATTCTTCTCTGTGCTTCAAATTCTGGCATTAATACCATGTTGTGGAAGGTATCAGTGGTGGAAAGTGCTGGTTTGGGAAAGGACATAACAAAAAGCAAGGGTATAAACAGTGAGAAAACACCCAGGATTCTGCAAGAGTACAGATCTATAGTGTTGGCATCTCAGCTGGCTGCCTGCAGTTTTACACCCTTGAGTCCACGAAGGTATCTGGGGAACCAGAGCTGACGCTGCTAGGAGCAGCCTAGGAGAATCAGGTTAGGTCAGTGAAATCTCTAGGCTGGTGGCTGAATGAAAGCTGGAAGCAGGACAAGAAAAGCAAACTTGTCTGGCCCACCTGAAGGAAATTACCCTGTTTGTTTGTTTTTTTTTTTTTTTAAGCCAGAGGAATGATTGAGAGGGATGAAGCTCTGTGTGTGCCCTTGGACCAAGAAGCTGCTGGCCCTGATGGCACAGCCTTTGCTGTGTTGCTGAGACACTATCACAGAGCTGCAGCACTGACAGGCCACATCTCAAAGGTATTTCTGTTCCTTTATTCTCAGGGAAAATCAGCTGAATGAGCGAGGTTGTATCGGCCTTTTCTCAGTGTCACACATCAAGGCATTTTTTTTCTGACATGGAGTGAGAAGGTGAAAAGCATAATTAGTGTGCTAGAAGTACTTGGAAGGACTGTAAGTCAATTAGTCTGCTTTGAATTCCAGTTCTGAGCTTGCTGGAAGAAGAGAATCTGTGGTCCATGTGAATACTGAGGTGAACAGCTCATTCTTAACTGAAGTGCTTTTACATCATTCTCTAAGGTTGGTCAGAATCTGCAAATATGGATGATTTTGGTGCACTTACCTAATGCAGTTTGTCTGCAATGAAAACACAGAGCTTTTTGGCTAATAGGCAGTGCAACAGGGGGTTAGCTGGAGGAATGAACTGCAAAGGGTCTAGTGAGGTGAAGCAATACATGGTTTCCCTTTGGCTTAGGATTTGTTTCAGACCTACAGGAGGTTTTGAAAATGACATGATATAGATCCCCGCAAAGATCAGGAACGATACAGGTCTTGTTTGGAGCATGTAAAAAAATATTTCTAATCCTGCCCTTTTGTGCACATTGTCCAGTGATGGATAAAGGGGAGCAAGCTGCTGCTGTGAGCGTTCAGCCCTGCTTTCTGGATGCTATCCTGATTGATTCGCTCGTGCTGTGGAGGGATATGTGAGCAGCACTTGCTGGTTGCAGCTGAATTACAATCATCAAAAAATTTCAGTGTAAGGGACCTCTGGAGGTCATCTAGACCAACATCCTCTTCAAAGCAGGGCTTTATGGGAAGTTCATATCTCCTTTTCTGAAAGAGCATTACCAGAAAGGC